AAGATCCAACGTCTCTTGGAATACTTCAAGCCGCCGCCGTTCTTTGTCCGCGTGCGTGAAGAAGCTCCCGTCATCATCGGGTGGCAGAGCACATAATCGATGCCCATGGGGTTTCCATCGATTCCCCGGCGGAATATTGGCTAGCGAGATGTACACCGGCCAACCCTTGAGTCGCCATCAATCATAAGGGTCATTTTGTCCGAATATGATCACTGCAGTGACCGCCTCGCCTGGATCAGTAGCAGGAAGTTCACGAAGTACCTCCCGCCACCAACTCCTCGTCTCAGGACCCTTGTAAACCTATTTCGCCCTGTTGAATTTTTTGGAGGGCGCACAACAAAACCCTGCGCGTTTACCACGTTCTCATACAAGCCTGTGGCGCACGTGAGCGCTGAACGCCACCACGAGATCACCGGCTTCAAATTTCCCGCCTTTGTAAGTTCGACCTGCTCAAACTGTTCAATGTTGGCCCCGACCGGTTGCGCATCTTCGTACTCGAAGTCTGCCAGCGACTTGAGTGTTAGCTGGCCTAGGTTGTGTAGAACTTCGACGAGAATGGATTTCTATTCCATGATATCCACACGTAAAAGGTCGGATCCTCCAGCTCCCGTGTGAATGAAACGGTAGGCACGAGCATCAATGTCAACCAAAGTTGCATCACACTCTGAGTCAAACGCGTAGCCTGTAGTGTCCTCGTTCATTTCAGCCGCGTCGGGCTGCTCATCAAACGGGTCGGCCCTGGCTGTGTTTCAGAGCGTGTGCGCTTGGTGCTTCGTGATAGAAGACGGGCTGCAGCTGCTCGTAAACTTTCTACAGGTCCTCCTTGGCTAGAGTCATCGTTGTGAAGATCTAGGATCGAGCTCAAAAAAGTGGGTTTGAATTGAATGATCCACCACGAGGCTTTATATAGGCTCGACACAAGGCAGGAAACCCAGGTGTTACGCGAATGTTCTGAGTCCGGTAGACACGAGCATCAATGTCAACCAAAGTTGCATCACACTCTGAGGCAAACGCGTAGCCTGTAGTGTCCTCGTTCATTTCAGCCGCGTCGGGCTGCTCATCAAACGGGTCGGCCCTGGCTGTGTTTCAGAGCGTGTGCACTTGGTGCTTCGTTAAGCGTCCCGAACAGAACCTTCCCAAACTCGGTAGAAGGCAATTCGGTGGAAACCGAATAGGCTTGAGTCTGGTAGACGTAACCTGGTTCGGTGCTATAACTATAATAAAATATAGGAATGCACCTAACCAAGGAAATCAAACATATTTATGCATGTTAAAATAAACCCAAGCTAGAAATAGCATAATAAAGTCCAGGCAAGCAAGCAAAGCCAGCATAAACCATCGTACTCTCACACGTCCCCCCCTCTAAGCTGGGTGGCGTGAGATACACCCTGCTTGACAAGATATTCCTTGAGAGCACGGCGCGCGTTGCCCATATCAGCTTCTACAACCCAACTGTCCTCAGTGGGGTCGTATTCCTTCCAGCGTATCAGGAACTCTAGGGTCTTGCCGCCGCGGCGTCGATGAGTGAGAACGCGCTCAATCTTGTACTCTAGTTCATCCTGCACAAGTACAGGTGGTGGTGGCGGTAGCTGCCGTCCTTGGAACTGTTGATTGGGGTCCTTGTAGGGCTTCAGTAGCTGAACATGGAAATTGTTGTGAAGCTTCCATGTAGTAGGTAAGCGCAAGCGGGATGTTACTGTGACCTGTGCCTCCATGAGAAAAGGACCACAGAAGCGAGGCCGGAGTTTGGATGGTAGGTGAGACAGGTTTAAGTTGCGCGTGTCAAGGAGCACCTGATCTCCGACTGCTACTGGGTGATCTCGTCGTTGGCGATCGGCATACTGCTTCTGGAAGTTCTGCATCGTGGTGAGATGTCGCTGAGTCTTCTCCCATAGCTGCCGCATGGTGGTGACGAAGCCGTGAGCGGCTTAGACGTGTGCCGGTGTGGTTAGCTGCTGTGGGGTGAGTGGCTCCCGTCCGTAGCACAGGAAGAAAGGTGTTTTTCCTGCGACCACATGTGATGCGTTGTTATAAGCAAACTCTAGGGTCGGTAACGGTATGTCCCAGTGGCTGATATCGTCTTCGCAAGCTGCGCGCAGTAAATGTTCAACCACCTGATTAAGTCGCTCCGTCGGTCCGTCAGTCTGGGATGGTATGCTCAAAACATCGCAAGCTTAGCCCTCAACAGTCCCATGAGCTCCTTCTAGAACTTAGTGGTGAATTTTGGGTCTTTGTCTGAGATGAGTGTAGTGGGGATGCTGTAGATGGTGATAATGCGGTTGAAGAAGAGGTGAGCAGATGCTTCAGCAGTAGCTGTGGCGTTGGTCGGGATGAAGTGTCCCATCTTAGAAAACTTGTTGATCACCACGAGTGTAGCATCGTGCCCTCGTGAGGTCGACGGAAGCCCAGAGAAGAAGTGAGGTTTTAGGCTAACGACCTGCCATGGCTGCTCCGGAACGGTTAGAGGCTGAAGTAACCCTGCTTTTTTCTGCTTGCTACTCTTCATCCGCTGGCACGTATCGCATGAGGTGACGAATTGCTGCACGTCTGTTGCCATCCGGGGCCAGTAGTAATACTTCAGGTATTTGAGGCTGCAGTGGTCAGTGTAAACTGTTGTCTTGGATCAACTAGGTAACACCTCCACTCCTTGAAGGCTACGACTATGGCTAAGGCTTCCTTGTCGTGAATGGGGTAGTTCAGTTCTGCTCCGTGTAGCTTCTTACAAAGGTAGGCAATAGGTTCTAAACCGCGTCCGTGATCCTACATCACTACTGCTCCGACTGCCTGGTCACTAGCGTCTGCTTCCACTATGTAGTCCTTGTCTGGGTCCGGTAGGATGAGTACTTGCGCTGTGGTCAGTGCTGTCTGTAGCTGTTCCATGGCTTGCTGATGAGGAGTATCCTATTTGAAGGGCGTACCCTTCTTTAGTAGGTCGGTCAGTGGCACTGCTGTCTTAGCGTACTGCGGCACGAACCTGTTGTAGTAGTTGGCGAGGCCTAGGAACTGCTGCAACTCCTTCATGTTCTCTGTTACTTTCCACTTTTTAACGGCTTCAAACTTCCGCGGGTTCACGTGTACGCCCTCCGCACTCACCATTTCCCAAAAAACAGCACCTTCTTAATTGCGAAGTCGCTCTTCGACAGCTTCACCTAGAACTTGTTTTTCCGCAGGATCTCGAACACCTTCCGCAGATGCTCCACGTGCTCCTTCATGTTCTTGGAGTAGATGAGAATGTCGTCCACGTACACTACTACGCACTCGTCCAGCAGGGCCCATAGGATATGGTTCATCTCTGCCTGGAACGTTGCTGGCGCGTTGCAGAGTCCGAACGGCATTACTAGATACTCGTAAGAGCCGTATCTGGTACGAAATGCCGTCTTGTGGATCGAGTTGTCCGCCATTTTAATCTGCCAGTGACCCGACCGTAGGTCCAGCTTCGAGAATACTGTTGCACCACACAGTCGATCGAGAAGGTCGTCTATGCGCGATATGGGATATTTGTTTTTTACCGTTTGTTTGTTCAGTGCGCGGTAGTCGATGCACATCCGTAAACTACCGTCTGGTTTTGGAATGAAGAGAACTGGTGCACCGTAGGGAGAGGTGGATGTGCGGATCAGTTGTTTGTCCTATAAATACTCTATCTGCTTCTTCATGTCTGTCAGTTCGGTCGGACTCAGTCGGTATGGTGCACGTGAGACGGGTTTCGCACTTGGTTCCTCCACGGTCTCGTGCTTGTGGGTGCGTGCTGGAGGTACGCCCACGGGTAGGTTGTCGGGCATTATGTCTTTATAATACTCCAAGACCTCCTTCACTGTTGCAGGCAGCTCCGAACTCGGCTTCTCCTCCTCTGCTGCTGCCATGACCAGTGCTAAGTAACCCTTGTTACTCTCGTTCACCGTCCGTTCGAACCGTGCCAGTGTCGTTTCAGGAACGTCCCTTGTATCCCTCCAGCTTCGCAGCTCCACACGTTTCCCGTTGTTCTAGATGCACGCCTTCTGATTGACCCAGTCAATCTCGGGGTTGAACCGCTTCAAGAAATCTCGCTCCAAGATGAAATCTAAACCCTTGATGTTGGTGACTGGTAGCTTCGGCTTCCACCTTAACGCACCTATATGCAGCTGCAGTGATGTTTTGCCGTTGATGGAGAGCTTCGTACCGTCCACAATTGTTGCTGAGAATTGTGTCTCCTCCGCCTTCTCTCCAATTTTCTCCAATGTTTCGCGGTCGTACACCGAGTGAGATGCACCGCTGTCCACCAGTGCTTGGAGGCGTTGTACTTTGCATAACACCTCGAGTAGTAGTGGTTTCTGCTGGGAGAAAGGCAAAAAAGGGCGACGACGTGGCGCCTTCGGAGCGGGCGAAAAAAGGAGAAAATGATGGCGCGAATATAAAACGTCACGACTGGCCGACAACAGGGGAAATCGCCGAGGCGAATGGAGGCTCCGCGAAAAAAGACTCTGCACTGACTGGGAAACTCCAGCCGAACACCCACGAAAGTAAGAATTCGTTAAAGTTATCCTACAAAGATACTTTAACAAAAAATATTACTACTTGTAGTTTTGAAGCCTTTGAAAAAATCAGGGAAGAATTAGAGGCCAAGAAAAAGCCTTTAGAGATTATTCAAGTACCTGAGAAGTCGGGCAAAGTACTACGGAGCGTAGAAAAGGGAAATATTATACAAGCCTCGGAAAAATCCTCTTACCCTTAGGTGAAGTTGGAAAGTGCTGAGTCGGGTATAGGAAATAGGGAAGGTGATTTCTTTGATGTACCCTATGATCCTATTAATGAGACGATCTTTGGTTAGATATTTGGTTGATCCGCGGCTACTGGCAATTTCCGTTTCTTTACTTCGGGGGTGCTCCACTGTTGCCACCCAGCACTACCACTGGTGCTCCCGCATGCATGAAACGGCCCTTGAGAGTCAGGCAGAGGCTCACTCTCTACGAGGGGGTCCGTCGCTTGGCCCTCATTCTCAACCATTCTCAATTTTCACCTCCACAATGCCCACTGGAGAGCCCGAGCCGCCTGATGGCGCTAGAAACGGCCTCTCTGTGCTGGGCGTTTTACCACGCCTTAGCGAGAACTACGCCGTGCCCATCGCTCAGCCGCCGCCTCGTGAGCCGTCACCAGAATGTGTGGTAGGGACTGTTTATCCGTTCGAGCCGCCAGACTCACCCACGGCGTGGGAGCCACATCCTGACATAGAATTAGTTCCCGGAGGTGGCGAGGGCTCGTCAAAGCCGCCTACAGCTTCGCCATCGACGATCAGCACCGCGCTCGTGAAGCGACCGCGTGTGGGAGCTACGTACAAGCAGCAGACGCTCTGGGGCGCCCCGCCTCCCCAAAACGCAACTTCCCACAAGCGCCCTGCTCCTTCGGCCGATCCGAAGCCACCCACCGCTCTGGCAGATGCTGAGTATGAATCGGTTAAAAAGACATTTGAGGGTCAGTGGGCAGGGAGCTTTAACTGGCTACGTTTGCTCCGCATGTCTAACGGTCGTCCTTCTCTGAAGTGTGCGATTTGTGTGAAGCATGGAGATCCACTTGCGCACACCGCGTACGGTGCGAAGGGTGAGGGTGCTCGGGACCTCCAGATCGGCAGCATCCGCACTCACACCTGCTCCCGTGCACACAGGCAGGCGTTGGAGAATGAAGAGAAGGCGGAGGCGGAGAAGGCGAAGCAGGTCACTATCACACGATGGCAGGGCACGGACGCTTCCACTCGTCACATCATTCGGCTCCTCCACATCGCGCACTTTGTCTGTAAGGCCGACGCACCCATAGCGATGTTCGTCCCGCTGTGTTGGTTTCTCGCGAAAGAGGGGTTACCAGACCTGCCGCCAGGTGGTGGCTCCGGCGCATACTACACAGAGTAAGTCCTTGGCCTGAACTGAATACTGGTGTTTGTTTTTTAAACCACCCGGGTATGTGACCACGTGTTTTGTCCCCTGGCAGTTACGGCTTCAAAGAGAACCTGCGCGCCCTGTCAACGTACCTCCAAGAGACACAGCGCGAGCACCTGCTCGAATCCCCGTGGATAGGGATTCAACTCGATGAAAGCACGGACCGTGTGAATGGGAAACACCTCATTCTATACGCCACGTTCTTCCAGCGTACCACGGTGGTCACGGAGTTCCTGACACTCATTACTGTTGACCGTTGTGACGGTGCCTCACTCACATCCGCTGTCGTGCAGTATCTGACAGGTATTGGGGTCGACCTCCAGAAGATATCCAGCGTCGCCTCCGATGGTGCCAGCGTCATGGTCGGCAAGAACCGAGGAGTCGTGACACGGCTTCGCATGCGCATTCCGCATCTGGCCTCAACACATTGTATCGCTCATCAGTAAGATTCACCGTTGTGTGCTCCGTGCTGCTGTTCTATGAAGTTTAGATTTTGGCTAACTCGCCGTCGTGTTGCAACTGATGTGCAGGGAGGCACTCGCAGCCAGTGATGCTGCTGAAGAGGTACCTGAGCTGTTGATGATCGACGATGTCGTGCGCGCCTTCGCTGACCACATCGGCCGCAGCAGCGTGGACTACGCGAAGTTTCAGGAGTTGCAGCGGATCTTCTGCCAGACGAATCTCGAGGCGCAGGGGATTATCGACACACGATGGCTCGCCCGTGGTGAAGCGATACAGCGCCTGCTCGACGTACTCCCTGCGGCCATCGTGGTGATGAAGGATTACAAGGCGGCTTTGTACGAGGTGGTTACCTCGTTCAAGTTCAACTGGCTCATCCGCTTTCTAGCGGATGTGCTTTGGGAACTGAACTGCCTTAACCAGCGCTTCCAGCAGCGCCAGGTAAGGGCCTTTGTTGCTGTCGTCTATGTTGTCGCATGCAAGCAAGTGTACTAACTAACTCGCTGGCTGGCCCTTGTGCAGGTGGACATTACCCTTGTTGCGCACATCGTGCAGCAGACAAGGATGCGTCTGAAGACGCGGTATTCCCTCCGCGACCCTGCACACCATTTCGGCAGCGGCGAGAAAATGCAGCTTCCCGAGTTCATTAAGAAGCACGGGGCAAAGGATAAGCGCGAGATGAAGGCGGAGGGCACGGGGACGGGAATCCCGTCACGTTTGAGTTCACACTGTACGAGCGTCCGCTGCCTGGACATGAAACGGATGGCGATGTCACGGCGTGCGTCGAGCTGTCGATTAAGTATGTGCGCGCCATCGACAAAGAGCTGGAGTGGCGGATGCGCGACCTGGAGCTGCTGGAAGGTTCGAAGCTGTTTCGTACAGCTTCGTACGTGACCGACGACACGAAGCGAGTGGAAACCTTCAAGAAATGGCTCGGCCAGCTGCACAAGTTGTACCACCACAAGCTGCCAGGTATATCATTTGCAGCGATTGCACTTGTTAGGAAATGTGTGCGCGCCTTCGCTAACCATTACACATACTGCATACTTTTGCTTGTTGGACTAATGCCCCCCATCCCTACCCGTGTCTGCGAGCATCGGCCAAGCTTTCACCCCAACCCCGCCCCCCCACGGGGTTCGACTACAAGAGAGCACAGCAGGAGCTGTGGATGTTCACATCCACAATGTTCGCCCAGCACAACAACGAAGAATTCCACCGGGCGCTAACGAACATGCTGCGGGATGATGCGTGGCGGGTCTCCTTCCCCAACATCATGCGGCTGTGGCAGTCAGTGGCCGTATTGCCATTGAGCACGGTTGAATGTGAGCGTGGCTTCTCGAAGCAGAACCTGATCAAGACTTGGGGGTGTGGCAGCCTTGGCGACACAAGCCTGGAGCATCTGATGCGCTGCTCCCTGCTGCGGTACGATGTCGACTAGTTTGAGGTGGTCGCTATCTTCCGTGGAGAGAAGCTGAGGCGATCCACCAGGGAGTTCGACCCCACCAGAGCTTCTCAGACTCAGTTTGTAGAGAATGTTGGCAGTGGGGGTGGCACTGAGTAGGTGTGTAGTGCATGTGTGGCTTATGTTGAGTGACTAGATTTTGGATGTGCTATGTTATTATGCTCATAAAAAATACTTAGCTCTCAAAATGGTTATCAAATCAGGATTAGGCTAAAAATACCCTGCTCAAATCAGGCTAGATGTTGACTTACCCTGCTGCAAACAGGGTACGGAAAATTTTACCCTAGGGGTCTGTTCAAGGAGGTGGTGTTACCCTGATTTGTAAGGGTAGGGCAAAACGAATTTTGGGCCCTGCACGAGACCGGCGACGTGAGGGGGATATCGGAGCGTGCACTGACCAAGTTGGTTGGTGGAAACCTATATTTTCTAGCGCACAAGAAAAAACCCTATCAATGACTCGCTTTTGCCAACTAGCGATAGTTTTTGCCTTGGAGCCTCCTACCGTGATCTCCCGCCTAGAAGACCCGGGGGTCTTATCCTAAATGTGCTCGAACTGGGTTGTGGGGTCTTATGTAATGACATGAAGTGCATAAGACCCCTGGACATCTATTAATTACTGAAAAATGGATTTTGTAGTGCAGTGTTGAAGAAATTCGAAATTTCTGTACTGAATTTCGGATTCCTTCACAGCGCGGAAATTCATTCTCAGATTCTCGCACTCGAGTCTCCCAGATTCCTTTCCGCACGTTCAGAAATGCCTAATAATGACAGGCACGTCAGCATTTGTTGCCTGAAGGGCGGCAAAAACGCGTGATTGATGTAGCATCTTGACTCCCTTGACCACAAATTCGCTGACAAAGTGAATTTGGTGGTTTTTGTGTGACTCGCTAACCAGCTCATGAACTAACACCACTCATTATAGCCTAAGGGTCAAAAGACGGGTCCTCTCCAGGACTGACTTAATAAAAGACCCCTGGTCCGGATAGAAGACCCACGGGGCTTTTATGCGGGGGGGTCTTGTAACCGGGAGATCACGGTAGTCTATGAGTACGACTTGGTAAGCAAGTTATGTGAGTGGTGAACAGTGCATATGGTTGACGATCATCGCGTCAGTTCTGTTTTTTGGCACTCGGGTTCCGTTGTCGCAGGACGATTGCCTGGGGTCGCGAGAGTTTCTTCAAAACAAGTAGGGTAACCCTGTTTTCTGCGATTTCAAATTCAAGAATCTTGAACTTGAAAATTACCATGCTGTACACGGGTACATTTTTATAGGGGGCAGGGCCTCAGATATCAGGAAAAAAACCCTGAAATTCCTGATTTTGGCAGTCCTTTTTTTACCTACCCTGAAAAGTCAGTGTTGAGATTTTTGAGGGACTGAAATTTCAGACTTTTTTTGTTAGGCCACACTGAAATTTCAGACTTTTTTCCCCTAGGACACTGATGCCACAACGTTGTAACGAAACCAACACTGAAGCGATTCTTACCCGTGCCATGTGGATTTGACCGCAATTACAGGGAATCTCAGATTCCCGAGGTGTAAGCACCCCGTGGCGAGGCCAACCTGTGAAATTCTGCCTCTGGTTCACGTTCAGAGGTATTTTGTTGGCGCGGCGCCTCACACCATTGGGCCGTTTCGCTGCAGCAGTCAGTCTTGGCCAATCCAAACGTGGCCACCATGTGGTGCTGGAGGGCTGCCAAGGATCCTGCCCCGTTGCCATCACATGCGACGCGTTAGTGACAGCCTTTTTACTAGTGCTACACTGATGCATCAGACTTTTTACAAACACAACACTGACATTTCAGGCTTTTTTTTTTTGGAACACTGTCAATCAGAGTTTACACACAGGGGGACCCTGATGGGTTGACGACCCTAAAAGTGAATCTGAGGGCCTGATAGGGGGGTCTTTTATCCGGGGGAATTACGGTACCAAAAATGGGTACCGTAACTTGACGATTTACACTGATGAGATGAGAACAAACAAGTGGTTTCTAAGAGGACACTAATTTCTCAAGAGCTATTTATTTTTTACCCTTAGAGAAAGACCAATCCATGTTAACCTATCCAAATCCTATCGAGGCCTAAACCTTAGAGTGCACTGCACACTAGAATCACTGCCACTTGTGCCTACACTGACCGTGAGCCTAGTCCTGTGGTGCCGCTAGGAGCAGGCACATTACACGAATAGGATTGTGCCAAGCATCAGAGTGATGACAGCAGTGAGAGCCGTGACCGGTGTAGCAAGCAAACCTGCCATTGTGAGGGTGGCAACAAGACAATAAGAATGAGGGCAGAGCTAACAACCTGCTCTAGGAAATAAGGGTATAATGAAAAGAGGGAATCAGATTGAAGAGGTGTGGAAATGTGAAGGGGGGAGACATGGTGAGGTACCACGAAGACTGCAAAGAGGGGCAATAGAAAGCGGAAGAACGGATGGAACAGCAGTAAGGGGCGCAGAAGTAACAAGTTACCTGCAGCCTTGGGTGGGGAAGGAGTAGCCGGAGAAGCGGAAGGAGAAGGAGAAGGAGAAGGAGGAGCCGGAGCAGCAGAAGAAGGAGCAGCAGAAGGAGAAGGAGCAGCAGAAGAAGGAGCAGCAGAAGGAGAAGGAGCAGCAGAAGAAGGAGCAGCAGAAGGAGAAGGAGAGGCAGAAGGAGCACTGCCACTAGCGCCACCGTTGCTGGCGAAAGTAACGGTGCCATTAGGGTTGAGCGTGAGCGGTGCGCCGAGATAGATCGATGCACCAGTGGGGCCAACAATGGTGCCATTGCTCCACCCACGCAGTTCCCCTGCAGTGTACGACCCGTCCGCATTGGCAGTCGGCGCAACTGGTTTTCCCGAGGCGCCCACGATCGTGCCGTTCTTCAGGAGGGTCGTCTTTCCCATGCTGAACCCGGCAGTCGGTCCATTCACGACCACGACAATGCCGGGACCAATGAGCGTGCCGTTGGTGTAGGCAGTGTACGCGCCATCAACAGTGACGGATCCGTCGGTGAGGTTTTTGAAGCCTTTGAGAGTCGCGCCCGTCGAGTCGACGGCGGAGGTGAATCCTGTCTCACTCCACGTCACCGTGTAATTCTTGCCGAACGTCAGGCTGTTGGTGGTCGAGTTGTAGGAGTAGCTGCTGCTGGGGGCAACAAAACCAACGGAGCCGTCAGGGGTGAGCGCGAGCGGTGCGCCGAGATAGATCGATGCACCAGTGGGGCCAACAATGGTGCCGTTGCTCCACCCTTTCAGGTCCCCTGCAGTGTACGACCCGTCCGCATTAAGAGTCGGCGTAACTTTCTTTCCCGAGGCGTCCACGATCGTGCCGTTCTCCAGGAACCTCGTCTTTCCCATGCAGAATCCCGCAGTGGGCCCACTGGTGACGATTACAATGCCGGGACCGGTGAGCGTGCCGTTGGGGTAGGCGGTGTACACCTTACCAACAGTGACGGATCCGTCAGGGTTGTTGACGAATTTGAGAGGCGCGCCATGGGAGTCGACGGCGGAGGTGATTCCCGCGGGACCCCACGTCACCGAGTATCCATTGCCGAATAGAAGGCTGTTTGTCGCCGGGACGAGAGCGTATTTGTTGCTGGCGGCGGCGGTTGAGGGAGAGGCAGAGTAAGCGGCAGCAGCAGCCGACGAGACGAAGATCATGGCGGAAACCAGCATGGTGAGCGACGGAGGGGTCTGGCGAGCCATGGCTGGAGGGAACGCCCGAGGAAGAGTAGACTACTAGAGAGAAAGGTTGCACAGGCGCTGGCTGCTCTAAACCGAAGCTGGAAGTGCTCGTAATAATGATCAGTCCCTCCTCTCACGATCCTTTGTACTAAGGAGTGAGTTGGCGCGAGGGACTGATAGGGAGCATAATTATGGGAGGCGCGGAAGAACATGCTAGCAGATGGCGAGCGGGAGGCGCGGGCAGATAAACTATATCTGAAATGCAGTGGAGAATTTCCTCCTGGCACACTGGAGCAATCGATCGCAGCCACGTGCGCCTGGTGGGAGAAGCTCCGTTGTGGCGGACAGATTTTTCTTCCATTTGAAAAGACGGCTGAAGAACATGGCAGCAGATAGCGAGCCGGGAGGGGCGGGCGGATAGACTCTATCTGGGATGCAATAGAAATAATTCTTCCTGGCACATCGGACCAACCGATCGCAGCTACGTGCGCCTGGTGGGAGAAGCTCCGTTGTGGCGGTCAGGATTTCATTCCGTTGTTACTCATTGACCATTATTGCTGTGTGAAGCCGAGCTGAACTCTCAGGCCATTATTGCCAGCTCAGGACAGGCCAAGGAGGAGGGCTTCTGGTCTGGATGTGGCTGCAGTTGCTGCCAAAGTTGCGGAAACCCGAGCTGGTAACCGTGTTCGCGGAATCCCCATTTGCTTGCAGCGACGATCGCCGAAAACGCAAATTCGGGTTTCTGTTTCGCCAATCGCCTCCACCCCACGCCTTCAATCACTAAGCCCTGCAAGGCGCCCGTTGGTGTGCTGTCTACACATTTCATCCCACACCACCCAGGTTCGACTACAATCGGGGCCTGCCCGATTGGGCCTACGGTGAATGGCTAGCTCTCGCATACATCACTTTGCACGTGTAATCCGAAGACAGGCTTGCGTGGCCCCAATTTTTGCATCAGTAGTTGAGCCCGCTGACATCAGCATGTCGGGCTGCTCATATCAGAAGCCCGAAGCAAACTGGTGACAGGGTGCGTCGCACCTACTGGTTACCACATTTCGTCTCGTGCGGGTTTCGACAAGTCTTGAAGCAAATTACTCAGAAAATATGAGCAGACACGCCAAGAGAAGCACTGCCTGTGCTTGTAAGACGGGTTTCCGAATCACACTCAAGTTTCTTCCCATGCTCCCCCATTGTTCCCGATGTGTCTCTTCACCAATGTAAAGAAAACGCGCAATCTATGGAGGATTTTCCGCGCCGGCACGCATTCCGTACGACGAAGACTATCGCCTTCTTTCCCAACCACCGCGTCCTCGAATCACCCATCAAATGTCATCGTTATCTCCTTTGGCAGACACCCTCTGTCACCCACGCTTCACATCCTCGCCGTTCTTTCTCATCGACATCGATGCTCCCTCCTCCCGACTCTACGTTTCGCATCGCGGATCCCCTGAATCTTCGTCGCCCAGGCACCCAATTGACACGACGTCGTTCCACGTTTCCCCTCGCAAACCCAGTCGCACACCCTTCCGCCGCCCCCTCGTTGTCCTTTGTTTGCATCACGACGTCGGGTCGCTGAACCAACGCCCTCGCCTCGACAACCCCACGAGTCTCCCCCACGATAGGTCGCGTTCGTCTCCCCGCCCAGCAGCCACCTCCACTTTCGTGACCCTTTCCCTTGATACTCCTCCTTATCGACAGCCCCTCCCATCCCCTCCCATCCCCTCCCATCCCCTCCCATACCCTCCCATACCCTCCCATCCCCTCCCATAGCATGCAGCCCCCCTTCCTTCCGATGACGTCTTCGCATCACCTCCTCGTCGCCCTCGCGACTTCACCCCGCCACCCGCTCGTTTCCTTCTCTCACATTCCTGGTCGTCGCCTCATCCCATGCACGTCAGCGTGGTTGCTTCACCTGGTCGCTCTTGCCGACCCCCCATCGCCAGCAACAGTACACGTCCCTCGCAAACCCTGCCCCTGTACATCCCTGCCGCCAGCCACATGCCATCATTCCTCCTCCCCTCCGCCCTCCCCTCCGCGCACCCCTACCCTCTCTCGGAATGGCGCGCAAGGATGCCTGCCTATTCGTTTCTCCGACCCCCTCCGTGCAAGTGAAGGGTACGGGGGTGAGGAGGGTGCAGAGCAGACCTGGCAACGCATTGAATTTCTGTGATGCCCCACGACCCACCCATTTTGGAATTCCCTGACAAGAGAGAGGAAACAGTATGGTGGGGGGAGGGTGGGGGGATGTATGGCTTCTTTGGAACATGCACCTTGCTCCCCCTCACTGCACCATTCCCTGCCTATTCCCCCTCTGCCCTCCCCTCTTCCCCTCAATGCTTCGTCATCCCTCCTGCAGCTCCCTCTTCTTTGTCCTCTCCAACAATCCACCCGTGGAACCATACTCCTACCCCTGCCACCCGTCGCCCACTCCTCCGCATATTACCCCGTGCGCTTCAAATCTCAGGGTAAATTCGGCCTTGACAATCGCGTGTACTGCTCTGGGCCGGGCTACACCGAATTACACCCAAGTATCAAACATTATCGAAACTTTTCGAACTTAGGTGTAGTTCGGTAGAGAGCGGTCTAAAAGTTTTTTTTACGCGAATTTTTGTGACGTGTCAAGGCCCCAATGTACCCTCAGCAGCATCTCTTCCTGCCCATATTTTGTTGCCTGGAGCTGTAGTACGGTATGTTTAGTTGCCAGGTTGTGCATTGTCTGCTAGATGGTGGCCAATCCAGATAAATAAAGGTGCTAAAAGGTGATGTTATAGGAAATGCTTGATGGCAGAAGTCCTAGCAGCTCACAACAATCCAGAGCCAGGCCGCAGCGCACCATTGCCTCACCGCACTTATCCTGCCACTCGCACCAACGCCCCCTGTGCCGCTTGGGTCGCAGCGACCCCCCCTCCCACACTCACTCCAACCACACATGCACTCCTCGCCCCTGCCGGCAGTGCTGGCAGCGCTGCCACCGCCTTGGCTGCTGGGGAGACCTGAGCCGCCATGGCTGTTCCTCGGCAGACCCACACCGAGGGGAGTGGGGCGACCCACGTGCAAGCGAGGGAGAGAGGGGAGGTGGAGGGGGAGGGGGAGGGGATGGAGGGAGAGGCGGAGGAGGGGGGTGAGAGGGAGACCTTGACCAACCGGAGGGGTTGAGTGGGGTTGAGTACGATGACGAGGTAGTTGATCTTAGCGAGAGTGTTGTTGCGAGGGGGAGACAAGGGGGAAGGAATATCAGATAGGTTGGGAGGGGTTGACGATCAAAGCAGCGGTACTTGTTTCTCCCTAAGGGTAGTGGTGCGAAAGGGGGAGAGGCAGGTAAGAATACAAAGGAATGGGAACATGGTAGCAAGAGACGGTTGAGGGGGGTGCTGAGCGATGACACGGCAATGCATGTTGGTGGGAGTGTTGCTACTGGGGACGATGAGGCGAGGAGAATATGGAGGGTTGATAAGAGGGGCTGCTGATGCTTTAATTGGTGAGTGGGTTGCTTCCAGCCGGTTCGGACTGAGACATAGCGACGTGCTAGAGTGGCACAATAGCAGTGGCGCTACGCACGTGAGCATACAGGCATGGTGATAGCACACTGCCGCGGGCAGTAACTACACTCGTGTAGAGATGACAGGCACCCACGTGGAGGAGACAGACAGGCACCCACGTGGAGGAGACAGACAGGCACCCACGTGGAGGAGACAGACAGGCACCCACGTGGAGGAGACAGAAAGGCACTCACGTGGAGGAGACAGAAAGGCACTTACGTGGAGGAGACAGACAGACACCCACGTGGAGGGGACAGACATGCTCCCACGTGGAGGGGACAGACATGCTCCCACGTGGAGGGGACAGCAATCACTCACGTGGAGGAGACGGAGACGGTGGTGCCTCCCTTGGCTGCTCTGTCCAGCCGGGTGGCCGCTGTGGGGTAGAGCACTGGCGTGAGCGCCGAGGGGACTGGCGGGGTGCACGGGAGGGAGAAAAGAAGATGGTGTTAGTATCCTCATAAGTGGGATCCAGTGTGCCGTTTGGCCTCTGAATGCAAAAGCCATAGGAGACAGAGGGGGCGGGGGGGGGGGGGAGGTTCTTGAGGGGATAGGAGAGGGCAGATGAGCACAGGGTGGCACCGTGATGGGTGACGTGCTGAGGAGTGTGGGGTAGGAGAGTGAGGGGTGAGGGACAGGCAGGGTGATGGGGAGATGAAAGCCTTAGCGAGCTCAGCTCAAACTCCCCCAGAGATGCTGCCACGGTGGAAAGCAAGGGAAATAACTGCAGCGATTGAGTCGAGGTATGCAGGGGTGTTGAGGGGTGTAGAGAGCTGGTGTGTGGTGCAGGGCGAGTGCGGCGTGAAAGGGCGTGATCTTAGCTGAATTTCCATCCTTACTTCCCATCCCACCCTACTTGAACCCACCACAGCCTACCTCCACACTCTCCGCCTCGCCACCCGTTACCACCACTCTCCACCCCTCACCACAGAATATTCCCACCCCCACACCAGCTCACCAGCGTAGAACGCCCTGGCTTGGGATAACGCACCAATGCTGCTGCAGTGCCCACCACCGCAGCAGAGAAACCAATGCCACTGGTACCGCTCGCAGGGGTACCACTCGCGGTGTTACCACCGGCAGTGGCAGTAGAAGCAGCAGCAAGGAGGGCGGCAAGGGGAGCAGTAAGGAGGGGAGGTGAGGCGGGCGCGCCCGAGCAGTGCCACACGGAAGGCGCGGGCTGTGTGTAGGCGAGAGGGGGAAGGGGGATCGTGATGACGGGCTGCTGCTGTTGTCTCTTATATAAGGCGATTCGTCTAGGTGCGATGGCTGGCCCGGTAAACACGAGAGTATAGCGAAGGTTGTATTTTGTGGCACTGTGGGAAAGGGCGGAAGGAGGGAGGGGGTGAGATGGTATCAAAATAGAGTGCAAGACAGCTTTAGGCAATGAAATCTAGTAAGCAGAACAACTACGGCAGACAGATTCAAGACAACTACTTGACTGCAGAATTGTTGAGTGCGGGTGAACGAGCTGTTGGTGAGAAGGAAAGAGGGCGAGAAGTGCAAAACAGTTATTGCTTACTTTCTTTGAACGAGCAGGCTGAGAGTGCCTGCCGCTGCTTTGTCCGAAAAGGTCGTCACGAGGTCAACTGCCAACAGGGGCGGCGATGTTGGAAATCAAATGCGCGGCTGAGGATAGAAGCTTTGGGTGGAGAGTTGGCGGATGGTGAGGCACGCGATGGGATGGTGAGGCACGCGATGGGATGGTGAGGCACGCGATGGGATGGTGAGGCACACGATTTACACGATGACATGCATCGACGGTGACTGCGTCTTGTAAATTAAGATGTTTAGAGAGTATATGGGAAAAGTGAGAGAACGTTGGGAGATGGAGGGAAAAAAAAAGGGTTTTCTACTTCTGTGCAATAAGCTCTCCTTGTAGTGCTTTTATAGCAAGGTTCAACAACTTATGAGCTCGCAATTTGCAAGTCCTCTGCTTCTCTCGTTACCCGCACCTCTCGTCCTCTCGTCCACTCGTCGTCCTCTCATTCACTCGTCGTCCTCTCATCCATTCGTTCCTTCTTCCTCTCATTTTGTCCTCTCATCCGGTCATCCTCTCTTCCTTTGGTCCTCTCTTCCTCTTCCTCAACCCGTACAGAGGAGATGGGTAAACGCTGAGCAGAACGAGAGCTGAAATCGTCGTCTAGATTTGATCAGCGGCTTCGTTTGCACTGTCATCATACCAATAATAACACGGTGTACTCGTGCCCGCAAAAATTGACGACGTAGCGCAGCTATGAGAAGCAGAGATCGAAATGGCCTCGTGCATCGAACGAAGTTATTGTCTTCTTTCGAAAAGGTCACTACCATGGTTGAAAGCGCAAAGAATTGCTGTCAGTTGACTGGAGCGACTATCCGCCGACTGTCAAACTTATATGCAGCTGCTTGTGTAGGCTGTAGTGGAGTAGCCCATATGGGGTACAACCCAATTAGGGTTTCATAATTGTACCCATCCTGCTGCTAGTTCTTTCATTCCTGTTCGTTATTCTGACATGGTTTCAGAGCAGGTCCTAGCCTAGGACCGATCTCTTAGGGCCCACCGAGTAGCGCTACCCCACCCGACGCGCTAGTATGATCACGTCGTACTGCCCTGCCTTGCCCTGCCCTGCCCTGCGTCGCCCGCAGCAGCGTGCACTGCTTTGCTAGCGCGCCGCCTGCTGCAGTGCGTTCTGCTGAGTCGCGCGCCACCTGCTGCAGCGCGCCCTGCCCTGTCCACGCGTCACGCCGGGCGCCAGGCCCTACGATATCAGGAATTTTTCCCTGAAATTCCTGATTTTCAGCCTAGTTTTGTGTACCTACACTGAATTTTCAGTGTTGAGGTTTTTGTGACACTGATTTTTTCAGCCTTTACTTCATAGCTAACACTGATGTTTCAGACTTTTATCGAAGTGTACACTGAATGCACATTTCGAATCCTTCCCGTAAAACACCCGAGACAATAAGTCAACCAACATTTCCACATAATAAAATGTTCTCCAAATAATACTGAACGTTGACTTGATGAACTGGCTTAGTGGTTAGCGAAGTAGATACCAATTGGTCAGGTTTCCGGTTCGAATCCCTCTACTACCATATACGCAAAGGCTACTCTCTTGCACAATTGCACGATGTGATTGAAAATTCAGGCTTTTGTTTTCCGGAACCCTGAAAATTCAGGCTTTTTTTTTTAGGAACCCTGAAAATTCAGGCTTTTTTTCACAGGGACCCTGATGCATCAACGTCCCTAAAAGTGAACCTGAGGGCCTGCCGGGCGCCCTGCCCTGCCCGCGTCGCGCGCCCTGCCCTGCCCGCGCGTCGCACTATCGAGCGCCCTGCCCTGCCCGCGCGTCGCACCGTCGAGCGCCCTGCCCTGCCCGCGCGCCGCGCCGTCGAGCGCCCTGCCCTGCCCGCGCGTTGCGCCGCCGCGCGCTCTGCCGTGCCCGCGCGCCGCGCCGCCGCGCGCTCTGCCGTGCCCGCGCGCTGCGCCGTCGCGCGCTCTACCCTGCCCGCGCGCCACGCCGCCGTGCGCCCTGCCCTGCGCGCGCGCCCTGCCCTGCCCTCGCACCCTCCCTAAGAGCCGCGCCCTGCCCTGCCGCGCACCCTGCTTTGCCGCGCGCCCTGCCCTGCCGCGCGCCCTGCTCTGCCGCGCGCCCTGCCCTACCGCGTGCCCTGCCCTGCTGTGCGCACCCTGCTCTACCGTGCGCCGCTCACTGCTGCACCGCTGCTAGCGCGCTCCCTGCTGCACGGCTGCTAGCGTGCTGCTCTGCTACTAGTGCGCCCGCCTGCTCTGCCTGCTATGGCCACTCTTAACGTTCTCACCTTCGATTCGGAGGGCCGCCCGATACAGTTCAATGCATGGCTAGACGATTTACAGCTGTTCCTGCTGACCAACTCTAAGGACGGTACTTCGCTGTTTGACCTCACTTCTGGCGCCTCGCCCGCCCCTGACACCACAGCTGACAGTGCGACCCGCTCACAGTGGCTTACTCGTGACGCTGCTGCTCGCCTAGCCGTTCGCAACCACCTGCCGTTAGCCGAACGCGCCCACTTTGGCCAGCATAAGACAACTAAAGCACTGTACGACGCTGTAGTTGCTCGTTACTCCTCCCCGGCCACTGCTCCTCTAGGCCGCCTTCTCCTGCCCTACCTGTTCCCAGAGCTGTCCGCCTTTGCCACTGTAGCCGACCTAGTCACTCACCTCCACACTAGTGACACTCGCTACCGTGCTGCGCTCCCCACCGAGTTTCTCGCCAAGAACCCCCCTCCCATGTACATCACACTCTACTTCATAGTCACCCGCCTCCCAGTCTCTCTTACTGCAGTCAAGGACCTCCTCCTAGCACTTGACCCCACCGACCTCACTGTCGACCTGCTCGAGAAGCATCTCCTAGCAGCTGAGACTAGCATAGTCGCTGTAGGCGCTTCTCGTGGCACTCCTCGCACCCCCTTCTTTGAGGGGTGTTCGCCCTCCCCCCTTCTCCCCTCAATCGCCTCTGATGCAGCTAGTGACTACCTTCGTGCTGAGGAGGTAGGAGCTGCGTCTGCCCCTAGTGGGAGGCGCCGCAACGGCAGGGGCAGGGGAGGCAGGAGCGGTGGGGGTGGCAGAGGTGGAGGCGGTGGTGGGGGCGGTGGAGGAGGTGGAGGGGGCGGCGGTGGAGGAGGTAGTAATGGTGGGGGTGGAGGGGCAGGTGGCGGCGGTGGTGGCGGCAATGGGAGTGGTGGAGGCCGCGGTGGTGGCGGCGGTGGTGGCGGTAGTGGGAGTGGAGGCGGCGGCAGTGGTGGCGGCCGGGGTGGTACTAGCCAGAGGGGAGGCCTTGGAGGTGGCCAGAGGCAGCAGCAACATCAGCCCCTTTCGTCTCAGGAGCTCCGTGTGCTTCCCGCAATTTCTTTCGCGATAGGACTACAGTCACACCGCTCTCTGCACCTGTTGCTGTCTCTTTGGCTGACCCCTCTGGGGGCCCAGTCCTTGCACGTTCCTCCACTGTTCTGCCCTGTCCGGCGGTTCCATCTGGGTCACTGTCAGGTCTCCACCTCCCCTCGTTCTCTACGAACTTGGTATGCACTGCTGTCCTCTAGGATGCGGGGGTTGACACCTTCACCCCTGAACGGCAGCGTGTGGCGATCTGTACGTGCTCCCAGACCGGTCGCCACCTGGCCACGTTCACCCGTCGGCCTGGGTCGAGAATATACACACTGACTACTGCGCCTCCTCAGGTAGCTGCGTTTGCGTCTGCGTCAGATCAGCTTGCTGCCCCCTGATCGTGTCGCGCCCTGTCGCACCAGACGCTCCTTTGGCACCACCGTCTTGGTCACCCCTCTGTGGCACGCCTCCGTGGCATGCACTCTCGTCTCTTTGTCTCTGGTCTTCCCAGGTCTCTGCCTCCCCTCCCACCCTCGCCTGCCCCTCCCTGCCTTCCCTGTGTCGAGGGGGGGCAGCGCGCCGCTCCTCACTCCTCCTCGTTCCCCCCGACAGAGGCTCCCCTGCAGACTCTCCACCTGGACGTGTGGGGTCCAGCCCGCGTCCGTGGACAGGGCCACGAGCGGTACTTTCTGCTGGTTGTCGACGACTATTCGCGTTACACCACGGTCTTCCCCTTGCGCCGCAAGGAAGAGGTCCCTGATGTTCTGATCCCTTGGATCTGCGCTGTTCGTCTCCAGCTCCGCGAGCGGTTTGAGACGGACTTTCCTGTCCTGCGTCTGCACTCTGACAGAGGTGGTGAGTTTTCCTCCGACCTCTTGCGGGCTTTTGTCGTGCGGAAGGCATTCGCCAGACGCTCACGCTTCCGGTCTCTCCGCAGCAGAATGGGTTGCTGAGCGCCTCATTGGCTTAATCATGGAGGTCGCTCGTACCTCCATGATCCATGCGGCTGCCCCCCATTTTCTGTGGCCGTTTGCAGTCCAGTACGCTGCGCATCAGCTCAACCTCTGGCCCCGTGTCTCCTTGCCGGAGACCTCGCCCACACTGCGTTGGACGGGGGAGGTTGGCGATGCGTCGGTGTTCCGGGTCTGGGGATGCCGAGCCTTTGTCCGCGATACGTCCACGGACAAGCTCTCCTCCCGCGCCGTTCCCTGTGTCTTCCTTGGCTTTGTCCCTGACGCGCCTGGCTGGCAGTTTTACCACCCCACCTCGCCCCATGTCCTGCCCTCTCAGGACATCACGTTTGACGAGTCGGTTCCCTTTTACCATCTCTTCACCTACCACACTGCCCCTCTCCCTCCCCCGCCGCTCTTCCTCGTACCAGGTCCTCCTCCGGTAGATCCCCTTCCCCCTCAGGGTCCTGCTCCCTCAGGTGTGTCCCAGGTAGACCCTGTCGAGCCTGTCGAGGTCGTTGTCGACTCTGGTGCTTCTAGAGGTGTTGCGTCTGGAGTTGCTGAGCCTGAGAGTGCGGAGCCTAGGGGTGCGGCTGGGGGTGCTGAGCCTGGGGTTGCTGAGTCTGAGAGTGCAGAGCCTGGGGGTGCTGAGCCTGCGGGTGCGGAGCCTGGGGGTGCTGAGCAGCGCGTGCGGAGCCTGGAGGTGCTGAGCCTGGGGGTGCTGAGCCCGAGTGTGCTGAGCCTGGAGGCCCTTCGGGTGTCTTGTCACGGTCGGAGTCTCTCTCTCCACTGCAGCTGC